CAACAAAACACTGACACGTATGTATAGAAAGAACTTCATATCAAGAAGTAATCCTACCTATATCAAGAAGGCATCCCAGCCCAGACCAACTCAAGTCCACAGATCTGATGTTAGCCAGGCCCTTTTTAGACTCGTGTAGCTGCAGAACAATGATGCAAACAGGTGAAACAGGATGTAAGATCAGAGGCCGAGGGGTGCAGAGTCACATGCATCTGAGGTGAGTGGAAATATGGCAGGACACTGACAGTTCCCAGGTTAGCTCCCAAGGCAAGCAGCCTATAGGGGCCACCCTGGAGGCGGACACAGTGTCTCAGGAAGCAGAAAGAGAGAAAGAGAGACATTCCCTGTGACTCTCTTATAAAAAGACCACACCCCCAAAGAGGCATCATCAAGCTGTAACCCAAGTGATGGGTTGTATTCCACTCCTACACTTTCACACAGGTTTCAAGTTGACATAAAATCTAATCACCGCAATGGGTAACCATAAGCTATAAAGGTAAGGAAAACTAAAGGTGAGACAATGTGTACAAGCCTACATAAATGCATTATTTTATTTTGAAATGCTTTAAAACTGATAGAAAAGTTCCAAAAATACTACAGAGAAAGTGTTTTCAAAATTGTGGAGGACGTGCCTCTAAAAATCCACTTTGTTAAAGTAAAAAGAATGCAGGAAAAAAATCAAAATCTAATTTTTCTGAATCCTGGAAATTATCTAAAGGCTTGCCATAATCTGAAGAACTTTGTTCATTCAAGAGAAACAGCTAAATGCCATAAAGAACACCAGGCCTTGTGGAGTTCTGATTTGTCCTATCCAACAAACCTCTCCCAGTGTGTCAGGCTTTGTGAACCAGTTGCTGCCCAACAACTACTGTGAGTACTGGTGTCTTAGTAGATCACAAATTGGGCACTAACCACAAGATTAGCAAATTGAACTCACCAGCTACTCTGTAGGAGAGAGATGAGGCTTTCTTCTTCTGTAAAGGTTTGTAGCCTTAGAAACTCAAAGTGGCTGCTCTACTTTCCCCTGTAAGGTCACTATGATTCACAACGGATTTGATGGCTGTGCTAATCACAGATCTGTGTTCAAACCTACCAGCCACTCCTCTGGAGAAAGAAGAGGCTGTCTGCTCCCATAAAGGATTAAAGTCTTGATCACCATCAGTGGGAATTGACTCAATAGCATTGGAGGTTTTCCTTTTGTTTTATTTATTTTTTTTTTGAGGTTTCCTTTTTCACATTGACTAGGGGCACAGTTTAGAACAAGTCTGAAGCATCCCTAAAAGGGCAACCCTCCTTACCCCAAAAAACCAAACAAGCCAGAAATAACTCACTGACTCATAATGTCTGCTTAGGACCGAGTATAACAGCCCCTGGGGTTTTCCATAGCTATACATCTTTATGGGAGGAGAACGCCTTATCTTTACTCCACAGAGTGACTGGTGGATTCAAGCTGTTCACATTGTGGTTAGCAGCCTGAAGTGCAACCCGTTCCTACACCCAAATGCACTATCCCTGCAGAACTGACATTATTTGAATGAAGTCACATTCAAAGGGCTTGCTTTAAACCTGACCCAGAGTTTATTCAATGTGAAGAATTCTGACTGAGGGCATTTGTCAAAAAAAGGAATTTATAAAAATTGTAGCAACCGCTTTACATTTCTGTTGTCCACAATAGTGACACCAGTTGAGACAAGGAAAAGGCTAGAAATGCCACTTGAAAGGAAAGTCTCACTCAGGAATGGGAGGCCCAGGAAAAATCTTGGAAACACTTCTACACATTCTACTGAATCCAGAGGCTACGTACAGGACCGTGCACCTAGGAAACGTGTGCCTAGAACACCGTGGAGAGGTGTTTTCTCTGGCTGACTGTGAGGCTATCTGCAAGTAGCACTCTCTCTCCCTCTCAGCGCTGTGCAATCAATGCCCACTCACTGTGACACCCCATGGTTTTCCCAGACTAACTGCTTATGGGAGTAGTGAAAAGCCCAACAGCTCAATGAGTAACCACTATGCCACCAGGGCTCATTTGCAAAGAATGAATGAGTGAAGGCTATAGCAATTGAAAAAGTAATGGAGATTTAAAAATGTGCCTTTGAAGTAAACTGTCTGTGCCTAGGGGTAGGGTTAGGGGGGCATATCTGATCCCTCTAGTGTCTCTGTTGCCTTGAGGCAGCAGCCAGACTTGCCTCCAACCTCTAAGATTCTTCTTTATCCTGTTCTGACACCAACTGTTCTTCCCACATCATTCTACTTGTATGCTGGGTTTGATGGTCCATTGCAGTTATCTGTATCAATGAAACAGAACTCACAGACAATGCTCAACTTTAAGGGAGTTTATTAGGGAAGTTAACAGGCTCCCACAAGCTAGCGTCAGAAAATGGATAAAAATAGAGGCAGTGATGGACAGCAACAGCTCTCCTCAGCCAGCAGCCAATTCTCGCTCTAGTCTCTGCCCTCAAACACGTGACTCCTTACCCTCTGCCGCTGTGGGTCAGCAAGTCAGCCTCCTGCTCTGCCCCACAGTCTCATTGTCTCAGGGTTGCTCCCCTGTTCCATCTCATGGTCTCCTGCCTTGGCTCCGCGTCTAGCCTGGTCCCTTGGTTATGTGCCATGTTCGCAGTGTCACAGACTCTGGTGCCTCTGGTCTCAGCCTCTGCTTCTTCAAACAGATTTCAATCATGTTCTTCTGCATTCTCCCAACAGGTTCAGTTTCATGTCATTCCAAATGAAAATGTCTTGGATACGCAAAGCCCTGGTTGGGGTGTACTTTTCTAAACCTTATACCTTGACTTCAAACAAAAAGCCTTTTTAATAGGCAATTCCTAAAGTTTCTTTAAAAGATCCAGTTATAACAGCTGAAGGCAGTGAGCTTATGTGTTAGGCAGGGTTCTCTAGAAGAAAAAAAACAGGACACTTATGATGATATATATATATGTATATAACCTATATTGATTATAATAAATATGATTATATAATATTGTATGATTATATATACAATGTATTATATATATGAAGATAGGTTTATACAGGGAGAAGGAATATAACAGCACAAGCTCACTTTGAAAATAATTTAATATTCATTTCTATCATATTATATAAATAATAATAACACTCAGAAAAATCAACATCATCCTAGTAGAGCCAAATTCTAAACATAATTCTTCTTAAAACACTCAAATTTAAACCTTTCTTATATAGACTACCCTATTCATGTACAACATGGCCTTATGCCCCAGTCAGGATTAAATCAGGGCTTGACATACTATTAGTCATCTTGATTAAGCAGCAAAAATTAATGAAAATAATTCAAGAGGCCTATTCACACCCTTGCCCGATTATCATGTGACAGAGATCAGACAAGCCTCCCCTCTCCATCTTCATGATTTATGTGTCTCGCGCCCCACTCCTTGTACCATAATATGCTAGGCTGGCCTGTCTAGGGAAACAAAACAAGTGATACTCATCTATATATAAGAAAGACCTTTATATCAAGAGGTAATTTTATATCAACAGGGCATCCCAGCCCAGTCCAATTCATGGCCTTAAACTAAGTCCAATGCTAGCGGAGGCCTCTTTTGACTCACATAGCTGTAGGCTGATGACACAGAAAGGTGAGGCTATGCAGAGAGGTAACAGTTAGTTGGGGAGAGTCCTGTGGATTCAAAGTTGCTGGGCATATGGCATGACACTGACAGTTCTTAAGGTCAGGTGGCCCGTGTGAGGGTGCCTCTGGAGGCAGGCAGAGTCCTAGTCAGCAGGAAGGTGAAGGGACAAGGAGAGGGAGATCCCCAGTTCCTCCTTAGAAGGTCACACCCAAGGCCACCATACACTTACATACAAATTCCAATTAACTTAAAATCATCCAGCTCGCACAAAGTTCAACTAGTTCTAAGTAGAATAAACTAAAATCCAGCCCAAATTAAAATCATACTGAAAAAATACAAAATCAAAGAGAATTGTGGTAGCAGGAGAGAAATAACTTCAAATCAAAGTATCTTCATTAAGATTAACAACTGATTTATCACTAGAAACTCTGGAGACCAGAGGCAGTGGGATGATATATTCAAAAGGCTGAATCAAAAAAATTATACCAAATAAGCATTTTATAGCTAACAAAGCTACTCTTAAAAAGAGAGAAAGAGAGAGAAAGAAGTAAGGTATTTCCAGAAAAACAAAATATGAGAGAGTTTGTTGCTAGAAAAAAATGGCTTGAAAATATTAAACAGAGTCTTTTAGGCTGAACAAAATGACAGAGGCAATATTCTAAACCATATGAATAAACAAATAACATCTGTAATTGTAATTATATAGGTAAATTTTTCACTTAGTAGATATGTATGTTAATCATTTGCACCACCTAGCAAAACTTTGGACGATCAAAATAAGTGAAAGACATTCTTATTTATAAATTTGATGTAACATTTTTTAAAGTGGCATTACTCCCCATATTGGTCTACCAATCCAATCCAAATCCTCTCAAAACCACAGCTGCATTTTTGCAGAAACTGGCAAACAGAAAGTAAGATTCATATACAAGGAACCCAGATAGTCAAAGCAACCTTAAGAAGGACCAAGGTGAGTGCACTCACACACCCTCATTTCAAAGCTTAATGCAAAATGGCAGTAATTAAGTCAGGTTCAAAATACATTCTACTCAACAAAGTTAGTCAAGTTCATAAGGATGAACATTTCATGACACATTTTTATAGAGAGGAAAAAACTTATTTTCACAGCAAAGGAAAATACTTTGAAAACTATGATGAAGTCTGGGGGAGGGGAGAGAGGCAAAGGGGAGGGGCAGAGAGGGAAGAAGGGAGGCAGGGCAGGGGGCAGATGTAATAAGAAAGATCCACATACTCAGGCGATTCATTGGGAGACTTTAATAGTTCTGATTCGATTGGCTGTACAATTATGTATAATATGTGTTTCTGTGAATGTGTTACACACATAGAAATGGCAGAAATACTAATTGGTTAAATAGAAGGGTCACAACCTTGGAAACCCTCCAGTTTCTTTACTCATCAGATCTAAACACTGGTCTGAGCAGTTAAAAAAGGAGGAAAAGTGAAATTGAAACTGACTTCAATCCTTTTGTGGCCCACGAGCTAGTTTCAAACTATGGCCTTCCCACCTAAACACCTTGAAAAACCTCCTTGTTCCTTGTTCAGAGAGACCATGCCCTGCATTACCTTAGGCTCCCTACCATATCTACCCTCTTTCTAATAAATTGTTTTGCTAACACATTACACATGGTGTCCTGCCTTGTGAGCTGGGCCAGGGAAAGAAGCTCATCTGTGGAGAACTCCTGCAACAAGGCAAGGAGCAAATCTGCAGCCCCAATGCCTAGGCAGGGCAAGGCAGTGACCACTCAGGGGACTAGTGATGGGCCATACCAGTTGCCAGAGTCTAAGAGGGCATTTCCTGGAAGTGGATGCCATACATGGCAAGGAGGATGGGTACACCTGACCTTCTCTGGCTTCCCTATTGCCAAGACAAGAGTCGGACATGCCTCCAAGCTCCATCCTTCATGACCAATTCTGATACCAACCTGTGATAATTCATTGCAATGGTCACAAGAACTCACAAACAATATTCACAATTAACAGGGTCTTTAGAGAAGGTAATAGGTTACCACAAATCAGGTTCAGCAAAAAGTAAGTGTATGGCCATTGGTCTCCTAAGCCAGCAGCCAAGTCTCTGTCTCTGATTCTCTCAGCCACATGGGTCCTTAACCTTGGATTCCAGGGGTCAGGAAGAACAGCTGGCCTGTCACTCTATCCCACTGGTCCACAGTATCAGGCCAGATAAGGAGAAGATACTCCATCATTTCAGTGCTGCTCCTTCATCGCCAGGCCACATCCTGTGCTGCAGCCTCTACCACTTCAGAGACCTTGAATGAGCTCCTCGAGTTCCGGAGAGATTCTTGTTATCTCTCCTACTTCAAAGACGGCGGCCTATGTGTTTAGCTGGGGGTGGGGGTGAAGTGGGGAGTGGTAAGAAAACAAGACCAATTCTCTCAGTGTTACACAAGCCCCTACTTGCATGCTGGCTGTTATGGTTAGATGTCATCAAGCCAGTACCTACCCAGAGTGGCCATCTGTATGCACAACAGACCATTTCTGCACCATCATCACAATTATCCCTATGCAAGAGATATTAATGACAATGCCTTATAATCTGAGCATTCTGTTGGGTCACCTTTCTGTGGAATGGGGACAAATATGGATCTCTTTCACTCAGTTGGCCAAGTAGCTGCCTTCCAATTCTCCTGGTATAGACCACTGTTTCCAGTGCCTCTTTAGCCTATTGAAACATCCCACTTTGTGTTCCATCAATCCCCACAGCCTTGTTTTTGACTAATGCTTTCCGGGCAGCTTAAAAAAATATTCCCTCAGTCTAATTTTTGAAAAGGTGGAATGTGGACTAGTTCTTTTGGGTACATTGCCTCTGTGTATTCTTTCCATCTTCTATGGATGCTTTGCTCATCATTCAATATTTTTCCCATAGCGTCTTTCAACGTTGCAACTCAAGGCTTGCATTTTTCCTTCAGTTCTTTCAGTTTACTATAACCTGAGCATGTTCTTTCTTTTAGGTGTTCTAACTCTAGGTCTTTTCACATTTCATTATAATATTTGACTTTGTCTTCTTGAACAGCCTTTTGAAATTTTCTACTCGGCATTCTACTCTACTTCATCATTTCTTCCATTTGCTTAGCTTCTCCATGATTATAAACAAGTTTCAGAGTCTCTTCCGACATTCACTTTGACTATTTCTTTGCTCCTGTCTCTTAAATTACTTTTTGGTTTCTTCTTGAATGGTATTCTAGATGTTCTTGAGGAAAAATTACACTTGATCCTGTATTCTGACAACCCTGTTTGCATGGGGCTGTAACAGGGGAAGCTCAGAATCCATTTGCGGAGTCCTTACTTAAATTAAGTCTCTCCTGAACTACTTCTGATCATTATGAAGGATCACTATACTAGGGACAGTATTGGGTGTCACGTAGTCATGAATCACACCCTGTCACTCTTTTTCTGATGATTTTGACTTGCAGTCTTGCAAATCATTCCAAAAGTCATCACCAATATGTCCCTCACAAACAGCAAACAGATCTCATAGATATCAGATAATTTGGATGAGCAATGGAAAACAATAGAGGGGTAAAATAGCCTGCTCTTAATCAAAATACTAGAAATAAAACATAACTTAAAATTTAGTTTGTTAAAAATTCAAAATATAACTGCCCCCTCCCTTGCAGTAAAAATTCCGTTTAAGCTCAATCAGTAGGGGCGTTCCAACTCAAGGAGGATGCTACCAAGGTCATTAAGATAAGTAGCCAGGCATGAAGCATCCCAAGACAGAGGCCACAGGGGTAGTGGTATGATAAGGCCTGACATGGAAGTATCCCTCAATTTAGATAAAGGGCACATGCAATTTGAGCAAATGGTGGTCTAATGAGACCTGGAGAAATGTAGGCATAGATAATTTCTAAGGATCATTGCCAAACCTGCCTTCTTAGAGGATCAATTATATCCTGCAATCAATGTGAAAAAAAAACCTGCTAATATTTTTCTTTGTCATTGTAAAAACTTGCCGAATTTTTCCTGTGATAGTTGAAATCCCTAATTCTGTCACATAATTTAAGGTATAGAACTTGCTTGACTTTCACTGAATTTTTAAAGCAGTTTGGAGCTAGCACACTCCACTGTTTCCTGCTGTCTCGAGTTTAAGGATAAACATAGAATTTCTCAAATCAGATTGTCTCCTGTCTTTGGCTGAAACAGTGACAGTCATTCCTGGGCCTTTTCCCCCTCGAAACAGGGTTAAGTTAATTGGGTGTGTTAAGTAGCAGGTATTCAACAATATAGTCCAAGGTAAAGACTCCTGAATCGGGTACCATAGCTATTGCTGGATGGTGCATGTGGTAGTAACATGATCTGGTGTCAATTTGAGAGGATTAAGAGTGAAGGGTTGGAGTCTGGCCTGCCAATCAAGATATAATGAGGCCTCTGTATGGGCATGGCCTTCCCCTGAGGATTCTGGGGAAATTCTGAGATTTCCTCCTTGGAGGTGGAAGATTCTCTCTCTATTTACTCCCTGGGAGAGATTGCAACTGATAAGACACATGAAGCTATGCTGACAGAAGCGAGAGCCTTAGATCTGAACAAGCCATGTAGAGACCCCTGCCAATGCTGAGATGCTTACAATGCCAGTGGATCCAGAAGACTTTCAACCCACTAGCCTGTGATGTTCCTGCATTCGGCATCATTGCATGTGTTTTGTGATTCTGAAGACAACTTTATAGATTGGTATCAGACATATGGGTTAATGTTGGACTAATGGACTTGATTTGGACTGGGTTGGGATGCTTTCTTTTCTTACTTTTAAAAATAATTTTATTGGGGGCTCTTACATCTCATCACAATCCATACATTCCTCCAGTGTGTCAAGCACATTTGCACATATGCCGCCATCATTATTTTCAAAGCATTCTCTTCCCCCTTGAGCCCCTGATATCAGCTCCCCAATTCTTTACCCTCCTTTCCCTGTCCTCCCTCATGAGCCCTTGATAAATTATAGATTAATTTTTCCATATTTTATATTGTCCTCCATCACACCTCACCTACTTTTCCATTATTCGTGCCCCTGGGAGGGGGTTCTAGATTTATCCTTTTGATCAATTCTTTATTTATTTACTTTTTAATCCTTTTATTGGGGCTCGTACGGTTCCTATCACAATCCATACATCCATACATTGTGTCAAGCACATTTGTACACCCTTTGCTATCATCACTCTCAAAACATTTGCTTTCTACTTGAGCCCTTAATATCAGCTCCTCATTTCCCCCTCTTCCTCCCTGCTCCTCCCTCCCTCATGAGCCCTTGATAATTTACAGATTATTATTATTTTGTTATATCTTTTTTTTTAAATTATTTTATTAGGGGTTCATACAACTCTTAGCACAATCCATACATACATCAATTGTGTAAATCGCATTTGTACATTCATTGCCCTCAACATTCTCAAAACATTTCCTCTCCACTTAAGCCCCCGGAATTAGGTCCTCATTTTTCCCCTCCCTCCCCCCTCCGCCCTCCCTCATGAGCCCTTGATAATTTTTTTTAAGTCATTTTATTAGGGGCTCATACAACTCTTATCACAATCCATACACACATCAACTGTGTAAAGCGCATTTGTACATTCATTGCCCTCATCATTCTCAAAACATTTTCTCTCCACTTATTTTGTCATATCTTACACTGTCCGATGTCTCCCTTCACCCACTCCTCTCTTGTCCATTCCCAGGAGGAAGTCACATGTTGATCCTTCTAATCAGTTAACCCTGTCTATCCCACCCTTTCTCCATCCTGTAGGCATTGCCCCTTTCATCACTGGTCCTGAAGGAGTCATCTGTCCTGGATTTCCTGTGTTTCCAGTTGCTATCTGTACCAATGTACAACCTCTGATATAGCCAGATTTTTAAGGTAGAATTGGGATAATGATAGTGGGGGGAGGAAGCATTTAAGAACTGGAGGAAAGTTGTATGTTTCATCGTAGCTACCCTGCACCCTGACTGGCTCATCTCCTCCCCATGACCCTTCAGTAAGGGGGTATCCAGTTGTCTACAGATGGGCTCTGAGTGTCCACCCTGCACTCACCCTCATTCACAATGATATGATTTTTTGTTCTTTGATTCCTGATCCCTTTGACAGCTCATGGTCACACAGGCTGGTGTGCTTTTTCCATGTGGGCTTTGTTGCTTCTTAGCTAGATGGCTGCTTGTTTATCTTCAAGCTTTTAAGATGCCAGAGCCTATATCTGCTGATAGCTGGGCACCATCAGCTTTATTCACCACATTTGATTTTGCACACATTTGTCTTCAGTGATCATATCGGGAAAGTGGGCACAAATTGATATGATTTTTTGCTCTTCAATGTCTGATACCTGGTCCCTTCTACACCCCGTGGTCACACAGGCTGGCATGCCCCCTCCATGCGGGCCTTGATGCCCATGAGCCAAATGGTGCCCATTTACCCGTTTACCTGCAAGCATCCAAAACCCCATATGCTACATCCCTTGATAGCTAGGCACCATCAGCCCTCCTCACCACACCCGTCTA